TCTCACAAAATAAGGCCGGGCCTTTTTTTTTTTTTTTTTTGAGCCCCGAAAAAACGACTAGGATGTCTTTTCGGGGGTGAATTAATTTCTCTTTCCCCCCACACCTGTGCACCAGTGCCGTCTCCAACAACAGCATCTGAGTCGCTCCCGCTTTTCCCCCGTCCCTGTAACAACAGGAAAAAAAGATTTTGAGGTACCTGGCAGCGCTATGCGCTGCATTTTGGTTTAATCCTGAGAGGCTGCGTGAGCATGAGAAGAGCTGAGCGAGCATCTCTGCTGCTGCTACCCTTGGTGCTCCAGCCTTGGGCTCTGCACGTTTGCAAAAGTCCCGGTGCGCAGCCCGTTCCTGCATTCCAAGCAACCAGGCTGAGCAGCTGTCCCTCTCTTGCCAGCGCCATCTCCAATAACAGCAGCAGCAGCGGCAGGAACTGTGGAAGCGTTTCAGCCACTTCTCGGGTGAGGGAGCTACCTCCGTAACTTCCACGGTTCCCGCTGCTGCTGCCACTGTTGTTGGAGACGGCGTTGGCAAGAGAGGGACAGCTGCAGCTCAGCCTGGGTGCTTGGAATGCAGGAACGGGCTGCGCACCAGGACTTTTGCAAACTTGCAGAGCCCAAGGCTGGAGCACCAAGGGTAGCAGCAGCAGAGACGCTCACTCGGCTCTTCTCACGCCCACCCAGCCGCTTGGGATTAAACCAAAACACAGCACGCGGCGCTCCCAGGTACCTCAAAATGTGTTTTTTTCCTGTTGTTACGGGGACGGGGGGAAAGCAGGAGTGACTCAGATGCTGTTGTTGGAGACAGCGTTGGCAAGAGAGGAGCCAGCACCAGTGGGAACCATGGAAGCTACGGAGGCTTGAGAAGCAGCTGAAATGCCAGACATCCACGCCAACACCGCCTGCCTGCTGACCCAGGTAAAGGAGGAGCAAGGGAGCCCTCTGTGCTCCACCATGATTGGCTGTTAGGAGCAGCTGATGTTGAGGCGTAGCTGCCTGCGGGGCACTCCTGATGGCAAGTTCCCCCCCCACCTCCCCCCCCCAATTTCGCATGTTTTGAACTAGGCCTAAATTTGGGGGGAGGAGCTTAATTTTATTTTATGCCTAGAAAACATGCTGGGTCTTCCTATTGGGGGGTGTATTGTTGGATAAACATGGTAGTATGTGACCTACGCACATTCTAAGCTTTAGCTTGAGTAAGGCAACTAGTTGCAGCAGCAAGAGTGAAGTTTCAGAAATAAATGTTCATGGTTGATTCAGAAATAAAAGAGAGAAGACAACGATTTTGTATGTTCAGGACACACACAACACTAGTCATGACTCCATTGCTTTTTCTTCATTGTTCATTGATTTTCTACCTGTGGCCTTTCTGATTTTTTAATGAATTCTCCAGTAGGTGGCAGGTTTGGGCTTTATATAAGCCTGTTATGAAAGCTATTGTATGTATCAACCTTTATTACTACTACTGCCACTGCAGAGTGTAACTGTCAAGAGCTAAATATTTCTAGACTAAATTTCTGTCATGGTAGGAACAAAAAGTTTCCGGGCTTCATTTTGTGAACTGGATGCAGATTGGTGGGATGGTTCTTTTCCTTAAATCCGCATACCTGTATAATAATCTGCATCAGATTTGAGATGTGAAAATCACTGGTCTCTGTTAGGAACAAGGAGGTATTTGTTCAAAGATAACCATTTTGTATGGCCCTCTGTAGCAGGAAGAGGAGGAAGGCACATCCCAAACACAGCGAAATTGTCTCATTGTCACTCATTGGAATTTCCATCTAAAGAGAAAGACTCTAGTAAACTCAGAATACCAGAGGTTAAAAATTATCAAACCATGTCAGTTGATAAGCTGATTTAAGGAAATTCACAGACATTTTTTGTGCTTCCTCTTTCCAATAGCAATCCTGTAGCAGTCATGCCACATATGAATCACTGACACTCCCTTTTGTTCTCAGAACTTACCAACTTTCCTGAATAAAATGGAATAGGACATGACGGGGTATAATGCATATTATCCAAGTTGCGTACAGGTAGTCAGCTAACAGCAACTGAGACCAGAATGTTGTAAGAAAGCACGCCATTCATTTACTGTCAGAAATTCTGGCACTTCCACTTGCTGTTGTTAGGTGAATGGGCGAGGGGTGTTAAACAAGGACATCATATGGTTACCATTTCATGACCTCCGGTCAGCTTCCTCATTGACTACTTGGAGGAAGCTGGCAAAGATCCCATAATTGTGATCACGGGGGATACTGTGGCCAACATATATAGGAGGACCAGTTCAGATTAGCATCATCATAAGTTTTAACACTGCTGAACAATTGGTGTTAAGGAAGGAACTCCTGCATAATTGAATAAAGATCAGTTTGCTCAAAGGAATAAATAATAGTAGTAGGTAGGCATGTGGTTGGCAAACAGGCTGGTTCATACAATAGGTGTTGTAGTTGAGCAATGAGAGGCTAGACCAGGGCTTGGTGCAACAAGACTTTATTGGAACAATAAAGGACTGAACGTGTTAGCCCTG